CCCTTTTGTCTAAAACCTATAAAAGGCTCCACTCTCCCTTACTCTGGGCTCTCAACACGGATCCATTGAGTTGGTGAGGTCTGAGAGCCCGAGCTTAAGCCCGAATAAACCATAAACCTTTGCTTTTGCATTTTGGTGTGTTGGGTCCTCGGTGGTCTTTCTGGGGTCCGGTGGATGGGGTACAACAACTCATACACGTAAAATTAAGCTAAACAAAACAGGAGGCAGAGATGTGACAGGAGGTGAGACTGGATTCCAAAACTCAGAGCCCTTCTCCCCAGAGATCCATCTCCTTCAGTTAGGCATCCTCTCTGAAAGGTTCCACAGTCCTCCCAAAACAGCACCATCAGGCTGGGACAAAGAGCTCAAGCACAGACAGAAGCCTATGTGGGATACCCTACATCCAAATCACAACATGTTATTCAACTCAGCTTAGCTGTAACACTGTCTGTACATGTCTTTGAAATCCTGTTCTCCATGATAAACACACAAACAACATAAACACACAAATATGTACATGGGCTACATGTGTGTTCATACTGTGGACAGGGTCTCTTACTGAACCTGGAGCTCTCCCATTCAGCTAGATTTATTGGCTAACAAGCCCTGGGGATCTGCCCGTCCCCCCTTCCGAGTGAGGAATACAGTCTCACGCCAATGTACCTATTACGTGGTTGAGGGGGTGTGAACATAGTTCGGATGCCTATGCAGCAAATACATTACTGACTGAGCCGTTCCCGGCTCCATGACAAGTATATTGAATTGGGGGAGGGGGCATATGCTTTCTAAAAAATTTTCACTGAGCTTTTGTACATTTCATACAACAGTTCTTAATCAAATTTAGACACCCCCGTCCACACCCCCTACCCCAACCCCCTACTGGGCCTCATGTATTCCGCTAGACATGTTAAGTCCTAACCAGTCAAGCATTTGTATCCACATGTCCTTCAGTGCAAATTCATCCACTGGAGTCTAGTCAGCCTAGCTGGAGATCGTAAGTAAGGCTACTCTCCCTCACCCAGGAGTGATCAGTCTCCTATTCACAGCTCAGGGACCATTTCAGAAGAGAGGGCAGAAAGAATATATTTAATTTTTATTTCTCAATTTCAAAAGAAACAAAAGAGGGTCTGGAGAGATAGTTAATTGGTTAGAGCAGCTGTTGCAGAGGACCTATGTCCAGTTCCCAGTACCCACATGGCAGATCACAAATTTCCATAATTCCATTTCCAAGAGATCTAATTCTGGTCATCACAGGCCAGTGTATCACATGGTACACTTACATACATGCAGGCAAAACACTCATACACATAAAATTAAAAAATTTAATAAAAAAGGGGATACTGTAAAATTAAATGCAGGAATGTGAATCAGCACAGTTAATACAAGCCCAGCCTCCGTGGCTGGCTGTAGATCTTCAGGGTGGGGTGGTGAATAATCCAAGGCTCCACAATAAGGCAGGAAGCGACCCTCAAACCACTCTCAACCAGGGCTGGAGGACGAGGACTCTGCACACCACTGGAAATTCTTCAGCTGCCCATGCAGACCCTGCACCTGCCCTCAGCTCCTACTGACCAGCAGGACTTTCTGAAATGGGACCAGGCAGCAGGCCATCTCCTTTCCCTCTTTCCAGCAGGGGCCGTCAACACTGAACAGATTTCTAGGGCAAGTCCAGGGTCGAGTCCTGCAGTGACACTATCAATCAGCCAGCGCAGGTCCTCAGGCAAGATAAAAGGCCATGAGCTGAGCAGAGGAGGAGGGAACATCCCAATGGCACTCAGGGTGAAGACGGATGTGTGGCTGGCTGGAGGCTGGCAATGGCTGCACAGGACGAGGGCACTGGGTACCACCGCAGCACCGGCCCCCAAGATGGTGCTGCCCTTCGAAGCCATACCTCAGTACAGCACCAACAAGTGGCTGAAGATGCTGCAGATCTGGAAGGATCAGGGCTATGAGAACCTGCACCTGGAGATGCACCAGGCCTTCCAGGACCTGGGGCCCATTTTCAGGTAAAGGCCTTCCTAGCCCATGCTGAGTCCAGCCAGAGCTTTCTGTCCTGCTGGTTGCCATTCACCACTGGGCCCAGGCACTGCATCCTTAGGAAGATGGGGAGGGAGCATGATGGGTGATGGGCCTGACTCACTGGCTATGGGCAACGTCCACATGGACAGAGAGAAGCACCACTCATTGAGAGGACAGAGTGTAGGAGAGCTGAAGAGGAGAGGAGCCAGGCAGACAGCAGGAGAGCCCTCCCTGGCTTTGTGCATCACCCCACAGGTATAACACGGGAAGAACACAGACAGTGTCTGTGATGCTGCCAGAGGATGCTGAGAGGCTGTACCAGGTGGATAGTGTACATCCCTGCCGATTGCCAGTGGAGCCCTGGGTGGTCCACCGGGAGCACCGCAGACTGAAGCTAGGCCTGTTCCTGCTGTGAGGAGACATTGGGAATAGTGGGGGAGGGAGGATTGGTGGCCTGGACACAGGATGCAGAACCTGCTGGGAGGGGGTATGGAGCCAGGTCACTGCTAGGCATGGATGGGAACTGTGTCTTGGAGGGCCTGGGCCTGGGGAGGAGGGAAGTGGCTGAGGCATGCGCCTAGTCCTGAGCACCTGCTCTGGACTGCCCTTCCCTGGGGGTCACTCTCCTTCCTATAGGTTCCAAACTGGCCCTGGAAGGGGAGTCACTGGTTCAGGGCCACAGCCAGCATGTGCCACAGCCTGATGACCTGAGGACCACAGGCAAACAATAGCCCTTTCCTAGGGGTGCCTAGGCCCTTAGAGATTTGGGCAGACATTCCTGAGGATGGAGGCAGGCAGGAGGTTTGCTGTAGGTCCACAAGCAAACAGAGTGTGGTAGCTATGCTGGGAAGGGTTCCTTCCAGTGGCTGGGGCACACCTGGAGACAGAAGCAGGGACTCATGGTATTTGTGTAGATGAGATACAAAGGGATCCCACTGGGAAGGGGGGTGACAAGGGAGGTCAGAATCCCCGGTCCACGTAAGAGTATAATTTTCTCAGTAATGGTTTAGAGAAAAGGGTCCCTTGGGGATCTTGACCAAAGGTATCTGGAGAGAAGAAATGTTCAACAGGTAGTACGGTAGAACTGTGAGGAGGTGTGGGCAGACATGTCTTGCATCTGTGTGCATGGCTGTTGTATGTACAATTATGTGAGTATTGGAATGTGTGGCCATGTGAATGTGTATAGATATACATATAAGTTACCTGCAGTATGTGTTTGCATCTGTGTGCATGGATGTGTCTTAGGTTCATGGACACATGGATGTAGTTCTTAGTGCATGTGTTTTTCTGGTCCTCTGTGAGCACAGGTGTGGGTGTACTGTGGCCATGTTATCAGTCTATGGGTAAGGTTGGGTTCATTTTCACCACACATGCACACACTTATATAGAGAAATAAAGCTCTCTGCAAATGGAGAAACCAAAATTCAAAGCCCCTGACCCCCAGGACCTGTGTTTAAGGGGTTTAGTGCTTTCTTCTCCCCTAGTTGATCAACTTAACAGAGAAGGAAAGGCTGATCAGTTTATGGCTTCAAATGAAGAGGTGTCCATGTCTGGCCTTGGTCTTATGTGGTTTGACTAGCTGACTGGAAAAGGGAAGCCTGTGGATGAGGTGGGGGCAGGCCTTTGTCTCGGACCAAGAAGAAAGAAGTCTGCCATCTTTATGATCCCTAGGTGCCCTGTTTGCTTCTCAGGGATTTAGTGCCTTCCACATGCACGTGTGGTGTGATCACAGTCAATGGTTGCAGGCTTTAGCATAGAAAGGGATAGATGTTCTGCTTGTGTGGCTCAGTGTGCAAACCCCAGCCCATCATTCACTGGAGAGTCTCCACGGAGCACCCTGTGCCCCTGGCTATAGTTTGTGGATATTGTGAGTGGTCCTCTGGGGGTGGCTCCCTCTCTGAGGAACATGGGGTCCCTTTACTGAGACAGGCAGACCCTACTGCCTCAGACACAACAGATCACGAAGGATAGGCAGGGAAGTTGGGCTCAACCAAGCAAGGGATTTTCCCTTGGGGGCATGGCGTGCATCAGGTGCACTGGGCTTGATAAGAGAATACCCTTCCTCCCCAGGCATGGATGTGCCAGGCTTACTACACTTGTGGCATGCCTATAGCACCCAGAACACTGCGACTTTAGTCCAGCATGTGTAGGCTGCTCTGGAAGAAGGGGTGTGGCCTCTGAGCCCAACATACCCTCTCCCCATCCCTCGGGGAGGCAGGAAGATGGGCACAGGCCTGGGCCAGGCCTTTTCTGGGAGGTCTCTGTAGCTCTGCTCTCTGCCCTGCAGAAACGGGCCTGAATGGCATTTCAACCGACTGAGGCTGAACCCAAAGGTGCTGTCACCAAAGGCTGTTGAAAAGTTTGTCCCCATGGTGGACACAGTGGCAAGGGACTTCTCAGAGGCCCTAAAGAAGAAGGTGCTGCAGAACGCCCGTGGGAGCCTCACCTTGGACATTCAGCCCAGCATCTTCAACTATACCATAGAAGGTGTGCAGTCAGAAGGACCCAGACCGAAGCACTCAGAGGGTGCCGTGGGGAAGGGGGGGGAGGCAGCCTTGAGACCAGAGACGCCTCGGCTCAGGGTACCATTGTCTTGCAGCCAGCAACTTTGCTCTTTTTGGAGAGCGGCTGGGCCTCCTTGGCCATGACATAAGTCCTGGTAGCCTGAAGTTCATCCATGCCTTGAAGTCCATGTTCAAGTCCACCTCACAGCTCATGTTCCTGCCCAGGAGTCTGACCAGCTGGACAAGCACCCAAGTGTGGAAGGAGCACTTTGAGGCCTGGGATGACATTACTGAGTATGGTGAGGGCCGAGGACCCTGGTAGAGCCATGGGTCAGGAGCACAGTGGCCACCTGATTCCCATTCACTTTTCTTTGCTTCTGAGGGCTATGGCTGCTTAAGTTCCTTCCAGTGATTGGCTGTGAGTGTGGGAATGGGTGACCCAGCAATGACGGAACACAAGCAGGGAGAGACTGAGACGTGGGGACATGGCGGCCAGGACTGACAAGGGGTGCTTCCCAGCAGCATGACCCAAGAGTTTTCTCCTTCTCTACAGTCTCAAAACACATGGAAAGCGTGTATCGAGATATGGCACAGGGCCACACACGGCAGAACTGCAGTATCCTGTCTGAGCTGCTGTCAGAGGGTGCCCTGCCACTGGAATCCATCAAGGCCAACTCTTTGGAACTCACTGTTGGGAGTATAGACACGGTCTGGTCCCCTGTGGAGCATGAAGCCCTCCCCCAACTCCCTGGCAGTGTCCATCAAAGCATTGCCACTCACAGTCCCTTCCTAGCCTGGGCCCTACAGTCCTGTTCTCTCAGCTTGGCCCTCAGCTGTGAGGCCAAGGAAATCTCTATGCAGAGGCAAAAGGGGATTCTAGCTTGAGGGAGAGAGCGTTTTTAGTCAAAGGCCTAGGCATTCATGTTTTGGACTGGCACAAATCAGAATGGATAAAGCCTGCTGCACAGCAGCTTGACACCTTGAGCATGCTCGAGATCCTGGAAGGACAGGGAGCGGCCCATAGTAGTAAGAGCAGCCTGTGCAACAGGCCTCCCAGGTCAGCGTGAGCTTTGAGGCAGATGCAAGAAAAGGCAAGTCTTAGGGAAAGCCAGGCACCCAGGGCTCCTGCTGGTACAGGAGCTAGCAGATAGCAGCTCAGCCGTATACAGGCCACCTCCCCGTAGAACAGACATTCTCCGAGGGGCTGCTCTGGTGGGGCTGCTGCCTGAGGAGCAGAGGCCTCCAGCCCTGGAGGAGAAAGGGTAAGAGCCAAGGTCAGGATGATCTGAGCCAGGAGGGAGCATTGAGAGAGGATGAGGACCATGCCGGGGACTTCTGGGGTTGGGGAGACCTTCAGCTGAAGGTGCAGGAACAGTGAGGGATAAGAGAGGCCATGAGAGGGGAGCCTGGGAGGGCAGAGCCCTGTGTATGTAGCACCCCAAGGCCTGGGGAGGCATCTGACTGCCTGAGGCAGGGGCCATGGAGGCAGATGAAGCCAACAGGGGTCAAGGCCAGACCAGGAAGAGCTCTGCAGCAGGTCTAATGCCAAGCACCCAGCAGAACAGTAGGTCAGCATGCACAGTAGAGCACAGGGGCAGCCCAGTGGCATCCAGGAGGGACCTGAGGGGCTGTTTCTGTGACACCAGACACTAGAGCGCTGGGCCATGGAAAGAGGCATTCTGGAGACAGAGGCTCAAGGCTCACCCAGGGTTGGTTCATGGGGCAGCAGAAGGAGGAGATCTGGGACCCATTCCACGTAGGGGGTATGGACAGCCAATGTTAATCAGACACTGGGGCAGGTGGAGGCAGCTCTGAGTGTCCTTGAGTGAAGCTGAGGGTCTCCCCCAATAGCCACCAGAGCAGGCTGTGAGCATCAGACCCTGAAGGTGCTGAGGTGGTGGCCAGGACTGGGACGTCTTGGACTTTCCCTTCAGGACTGAGGACAAGGGATCAGGCTAATGCTACGACCTGGGGGTCAGGACTCCCTGGGCCCCACCCTGCTCTGGCCATGCACTTCTCCCACAGAGGGGCACCTTCAGGGCTGGGGTGCCCTTTGGGGAGGGTCGGGGCCCATGTCTGATCCTTGCTCCACTGCTGCTGCAGACAGCTATGCCCTTGCTAATGACCCTCTTTGAGCTGGCTCGGAACCCGGACGTGCAGCGGGCCCTGCGGCAGGAGAGCCTGGCAGCTGAGGCCAGCATCTCTGCGAATCCTCGGAGGGTCATCTCGGACTTGCCCCTGCTGCGGGGTGCCCTCAAAGAGACTTTGAGGTAAGTGCTGGCTGCCCCTGCCTGGCTGTCCTGACCACTCTGATTTCTGGTGCCTGAGGCCAGCCATGGGATGGGGAGCCCCTCTGCCAGGAAGGCACTGTCCCTCAGCCCTTCTTCCCCTGGCCGGGAAGTGCCCTTCCTCCGGGATGCCCCTCAATGTCCTGTGGCCATCCTGACTCGTCCTTCCTGCCTGGGCTCAGCACGGGGAGGTTGGCTGAGCTCAGCAGTGCTGGGAACCACCCTCTCGTGACCAAGGCAGCCTGTGTCCTGGGGGCCTGAGGAGGCAGGTGGAGATGTGGACAGGAGTCCTGTCGGCGCTGAGGCCCCTCCCTGTTGGCTTCCCACCCCAGGCTCTATCCCGTGGGAAGCACTGTAGAGAGAGTTCTAAGCTCAGACTTGGTGCTCCAGAACTACCACATCCCTGCCGGGGTGAGTGAGAACCACACACCCACCATCACCTCTGCTCTGCATCACCCGAGGGGTTCCTGACCTTTCCCTTGTCATCATCTGCCCACAGACATTGGTCCTGTTTAATCTGTACTCGATGGGCCGAAACCCTGCAGTGTTCCCGAGGCCCGAGCGCTACAGCCCCCAGCGCTGGCTGGACAGGAGGAGATCTTTCCAGCACCTGGCCTTTGGCTTTGGGGTGCGGCAGTGCCTGGGGCGGCGCCTGGCAGAGGTGGAGATGCTGCTTCTGCTGCACCACGTGAGCAGCTCACGGTGGGGTCTGTGAGACCGACGCAGCAGGGCCTCCAAACGCAGTGTTAGGGCCAATAGAACGGGACTTGAGTCTATCTGTGCTTCCTGTGCCCCGAGTCCTTTCTAGAGCATGCTGGTGTTTGCAGAGCACCACGGGAGGGTCCTCCCTGCAGCATGGTGGCAGCATGCAGCCCCTGCTCAGGAGCTGGGCCAGCGCCCTGCCCTGCTGAGGATGCCAGATGGAGCCCTGCTTCTGTTCCAGGTGCTGAGATCCTTCCAGGTGGAGACACTGAGGCAAGAGGACGTGCGGATGGTCTACCGCTTTGTTTTGTTGCCCAGCTCTTATCCCCTCCTCACTTTCCGGCCTGTCGGCTAGTCACACCTCTTTGCTCAGGTCCCAGCCCCGCCACCAGCCTACCTCTCCCCTGACCTCAGGTCATTCTTCTTTGCCAAGGGCACGATTTCTGGGGCCGTACTGTCATCCTGCAACCCCTGCCCGAGTGGCACAGCTGACGGCCTTCTGGGTTGGCCAGGGAAGGGATCCAGAGGACCCTGGTGGCAACAGGCAGTCTCTGCTGAGGCAACGTTAGCATCTTTCCCAACAGTCACCCCAGGCTCCTAACGTGGTCCTCCAAGGTCTCAGAATAAACACTTAAATATGACCGCACTGTGTTTCCATTCTTATGGCATTAAGCACAGAACTGGCAAATTTTCACACACATGCACACACGCACACACACACACACACACACACACACACACACACACACATACACACCCCACAAATGGGTAGATGTGGGTGAAAAGAGGGAAAGAACAAGAAATGTACATATATATGTAGAGAGAGAGTGAGTGCTGACTCAGTGTCTTAAGTCAAAGCGGGCTGTCAATGGAGCTGTCCCATGTGATCTGGTGAATTAGAACAGGCATGTAAACATAGGGACACTTGCATTGGTCAGGACTGGGGCCAAGGTGGGAGTGAGAGATGAGGAGGCCTTGCTGGAATTGTGGTCCAGGGTCTGTGAGACAGAGTCTTTAAGGAGTTAGGTTATGTGAAATGAGGTCACTGGGTGTGACCTAATCCAACCCCACAGAGAACCTCACAAGAAGATTCAGGCCACAGACCCTCGGGACAGGCTCCCAGGGATGACTCAGAGAAGTCTGCCTTCTGCAGGCCTTGGAAAGCAGCGGGAAAGTCCTGCGCTGTCAGCTCCTTCGCGCACACGCCTCTCCTCTGCTCTGAAGAATAAGCTGTGTCAGAGCAGCAGCAGGTTGAAGTCCTCTGTCATCGTGGTGAGAGCAAACCAATAGGATCCACTAAGCAGCCAGCACAAAGGCTGACAGCCCCTCACAGCACGGGAAGGCAAGCAGTCTACCACCTTCTCTTTTGCTGATTCTCTGGACCACCAGTTCCGCTGGCAGAGAGGCCTTGATTGTTTGGTTTTACTCACAAGGACATACAGCAGTTGTGGGAAGAGTGATTACACTCTTCCCAGACCACAGCACAATCCTCTTGTTTGTTTTAAGCTTGGCATCTAAGACAGGCAACCATCGCCAGAGCCTAGAACGTATCACACTGCACGTCCCAGATCCACGTGGCTACAGTGTTCCGCTTCTTGAACAAGATGTTGGGCACAGAGGTGGGTGGTCTGGTGGCTCCACAGGGTTGCAGCACAGGCCCCTGGGGTCTTGTTTTTTAAGAAGATACTTGAGTGGACATGATTGCTATCACACACACACACACACACACACACACACACACACACACATACACACCCCACAAATGGGTAGATGTGGGTGAAAAGAGGGAAAGAACAAGAAATGTACATATATATGTAGAGAGAGAGTGAGTGCTGACTCAGTGTCTTAAGTCAAAGCGGGCTGTCAATGGAGCTGTCCCATGTGATCTGGTGAATTAGAACAGGCATGTAAACATAGGGACACTTGCATTGGTCAGGACTGGGGCCAAGGTGGGAGTGAGAGATGAGGAGGCCTTGCTGGAATTGTGGTCCAGGGTCTGTGAGACAGAGTCTTTAAGGAGTTAGGTTATGTGAAATGAGGTCACTGGGTGTGACCTAATCCAACCCCACAGAGAACCTCACAAGAAGATTCAGGCCACAGACCCTCGGGACAGGCTCCCAGGGATGACTCAGAGAAGTCTGCCTTCTGCAGGCCTTGGAAAGCAGCGGGAAAGTCCTGCGCTGTCAGCTCCTTCGCGCACACGCCTCTCCTCTGCTCTGAAGAATAAGCTGTGTCAGAGCAGCAGCAGGTTGAAGTCCTCTGTCATCGTGGTGAGAGCAAACCAATAGGATCCACTAAGCAGCCAGCACAAAGGCTGACAGCCCCTCACAGCACGGGAAGGCAAGCAGTCTACCACCTTCTCTTTTGCTGATTCTCTGGACCACCAGTTCCGCTGGCAGAGAGGCCTTGATTGTTTGGTTTTACTCACAAGGACATACAGCAGTTGTGGGAAGAGTGATTACACTCTTCCCAGACCACAGCACAATCCTCTTGTTTGTTTTAAGCTTGGCATCTAAGACAGGCAACCATCGCCAGAGCCTAGAACGTATCACACTGCACGTCCCAGATCCACGTGGCTACAGTGTTCCGCTTCTTGAACAAGATGTTGGGCACAGAGGTGGGTGGTCTGGTGGCTCCACAGGGTTGCAGCACAGGCCCCTGGGGTCTTGTTTTTTAAGAAGATACTTGAGTGGACATGATTGCTATTGTAAGGACTAGAGCAACTCCATTTTGTACAAAGTAGCCACGTTAGACTTTAAAAATCAGAGAAGCAGCCAGCTGAAGGTCTGAACTTAGTTCCAGTAAGTCACCTGCCCCCCGCCAGAAGTTTGTTTTCCTTTTAGAACTAGCTGACCACGGAGAGGAATATTGCCACCCTGACACATCAGCTGTGTTTCTTGCCCACGCAAGGGAAAATAACCTAAACAATATCCTGTCTTTCTTGGTAATACACTGAAATAACAATAATCAGAAAGCCCCTTACTGTCAGGGTCTCTGTACATCTGTTAAGAAAATGACTAACAACGGCTTGTTTTGGCGTTTGCAAGCTTGCTTATTGTTGCATTTAAGGGTCAGTGTGACCCCACTGTCCTTGCAACTGCAAGGGTTTGACTGTGGGGGTGTTTGAGTAGGACTGCAGTATCCAAACTTGGTGGCAAGACTTGCCATGTCCTCCGCATTCCATTTAGTGGGTTGCTGTTCGTTTGCTTATTACATGTTCCAATGGGAAAAAATTCATCTTCAAGGAGTCCCAGTACGATGAGGAAATGCCTGGTCCATCGGGCAATCTATGATTGTGGATCTCAGGAGGATATAGATTCTCCACTGTCTCATGGGGTGGAGATAGGATCCAAAGTGTGTTATGATGAGAAAGCCTCATAAGGCAAGTCCTTGTATACATGGAGGTGGTTCATATGCCCCTCAATTTGTAAGAAAGGGAAAGTTGGGGCTCGAGAGTCGGCTCAATGGTTAAGAGTGGTTGGTGCTCTTGCAGAAGACCTGGATTCTGTTCCCAGTGCCCACATCAGGTGGCTCAGAGCAGTCTGCAACTCCAGTTCCAAGGGATTCAGTTCCTTCTTCTGGCTTCTGAGGGTACTACACACATGTGAAATGTATATATATATATATATATATATATATATATATATATAACATACACTTAGGCAAAGAAGTAAGAGTTAAGTTTGTGGGAGGTGAGGGTCAGTCAAGTGGCCTTGATTTGTGTGTGTGTGTGTGTGTGTGTGTGTGTGCATGCGCACACACACGGAAGCCAGCAGTCAATGTCAGATCTGTCTTTATTGCTCTATACCTTGTTCTTTGAACCAGCCTCTCACTAAAGCCTAGCTTGCTGGTTAGCTGTGCTAGCTGGCCAACAACAAATTCAGGGGTCCTCCTGTTTCTACCCCACCTCAACCCTCCTGTGAGAAGGTCACAGATGCACATAATCACAGCCATCTTTTTTATGGGGATGCTGAGGATCAGAACTCAGGTCCTTACACTTGTGTGTCAGGAACTTTACCAACGGAGCCATCCCCCCAGCTCCTCAGCTGGTCTTGAGTAAAGAGAGGCAAAGGCCCGAGACAAGTTAGGAGTTCAGCGAGGACTCAGCAGATCTGGCTTTGCAAGGGCAGCATGTGAGGGTGGAGTTCTCTGCTGAGGGACAGCAGAACTCTGATGAGTGTCCTTTGAGAGCCCTGAACACTGGGTATTTTGAGAAATGAGCTCTGTGCCTTTGTTTCTGTCAGTCATGTTGGTGAGTCAAAGAGAAGAAGAATTGCCTTGGAAATTCTTGTGACCTTCTAGATGGTGGTCACGGACATGAGATTCCAGGAGTTCTTCACGCGGAAGGGGACAGCTCTTAGGCAGTGGAGAAGTCAGTGGTAAATGCTGTGAGGGGCCAGGATACTAGAGTGAAGATGATCACCAATTCTGTGGGTAGATGTCCTTCCTCAGCAAGCTCCTTGCTGGCTAGTTTTCACAGTGCTTTCTGAATAGTTATGTTTCTATCCATAGATTTGTGTTGCTCTCAGCTGTGGTCAGAGAAGCTTTTTTTTACAGAGGGTAGCCATTAATGCAGAGTGGTTAATAACTGGTCAAAGAGTGGAGAATAAATGACTGCTGAATGTTCATCCCTAAATGGGACATCTATATCAAGCCTCCCCCACCCCAAGGCCCAGGGAACATAAAGAAAGAGGGGGTAGAAAGAATGTAAGGGCCAGAGGATGGGGAGGAGTGTGAAATGCTGTCTTCTGGACATGACACAGCCACTGCGCTTGTGAACTCACACAGCTGCACAAGATCAAGTCATTCAAAATTCTAGCCTGGGGGCAGAGGAGATGGTTTATTGGTTAAGAGCACTGGCTGCTCTTACAGAAGACCCGGGTTCAAATCCCAGCACCCACATGGCATCTAACAATCCATAATTCCAGTTCCAGGGGATCTGATGCCCTTTTCTGTCCTCTGCAGGTACTGCACAACATGTGTGCACTTACATGCAGGCATAACATTCATACACATAAAAAACAAAATAAATTTAAAAAGTTTCAGCCTGGTGGGAGAGAGGCTCCCAAGCGCCCACCCCAACCAAGGAGCTGTTGGTAGTGGACAGCTGCGGGGGGAGGGAGAACCATTTTTCTTTGGGGGTGTGACCACTGGTAGGGTTGCCCATGCTCCAGTGGTTAGCCCCACATCTATGTACATGACAGGGGCTTCTAAAAGAAAAGAAGAGGAAGGGCATGAAATTAGGATGGGGATTTGGGGGGGGGGTCCAGGAGAGTTGAAGGGAGAGTGACGGATATGATGAAAATACATTGTATGCATGTATGACATTTTGAAAGAGTGATATAT